AGGATGGCGGAGAAACCGTGCGTCCCAGTCCCATGGGGGGAGCAACTGGGGAATTAAATTCCTCTCACTGGAGAGCAGACATTGGCGTTGACGCCGAACGAGGTGAAAGTTAAGAGAATAACGAGGGGGCTGGGGGGCATCCCACGCTGGTAGACCGGAAGGTCGTCCCCTGAATTGCAACCATCATCAGATGAACCATCAGAACGGCGGGAAGATTGTCTAGGGGCAATGGAAGTCATGGCAAGGAACGGATGAAGAACACAGAACTTACAAAGAAGAAATGAATGTTTAGAGAGAGGAAGTAATCTGGCAGCGTAACGACCAAGGGAGAAGACAGGATAATTCCCCCTTTGAGCAACATGGTATTTATAGGCGACATCGCCACCTTTGCCCGAATTGGGGGAAGACACGTAGCGGACCGTGTTTGGTATATCCTGCGGCTGGCGCGACGCTTCGAGATCCGCGCCACCAGAGGCGCATGCCGAGATTACCTTCCCCGCAATAAGACGAACGTCCCTTTTTCTCAAAAAAAAAAGAATGGGAGAAAGAAAGAGGAAAATGGGGACCCCTACACGAAATAAGGGACAGAGTCAAAGGGAAAAGAGTCGTTCCTCGCTGGAGAAAGCAGGGAACGGACAAGGGGAGTTGTAGATAAGTAAAGTAGACTGTAAATCAACAAAGGCAAAACGATGAAACCAAGGGCAAAGGAAGTTTTATTCTTCGGCTCTACTGATCGGGACATACAAATAAGCAAGGATGAAACTAAACGAAATCATGCAAGGAAACCATGAGGGGGGAGCGCGGGACAGAGGGTTGCGGCTCTTCGAGATCGTCAAGAAAAGGCTCGGGAGTCATGGGATCAGGAATTTCACCCCTCTGCATGGCCTCGGCACGCCGCTGATCCCGTTCAATCTTCTCCATGACCCACCAGAGCCCTGCTCCCTCCGTATAGTCCTCCACATTAAAAGGGGGACGGTCGGCCAGAGGAAGGATACTCTTGAGGTCCTTAACACCCTCATAGTACCCCTTGGCGAAAGCATCATCAGCAAGATCCGTGAGCCATTCACCACCGAGCGCAGTTTTCTGTAAAAGCCGCACCCCATGAGATAAACGCTCCCTTTCCGGCATAGGCTGCAGCTCGGCCTCGAAGACTTCTCCAGCGGCTCCCCGACAATATTCATGAGCGGCCTGGAGGAACTGGGATGTCTTCTTAAACTCCTCAATGTTAAGGACCAGGGTCAGAACATCGCCGGGGGAAGACCCGCCCTTAGGACGCGGGGAAGGGTCTGCGGCTGGGACAAAGGAAATCTCATGCTTCTCGGCTAGGGCCACCTTAGAAAGGAGATCTTGCTTCTCCTATTGGCTCTAATCCCGGACGGCCTGGAGCTCCTGTTTGGCCTGAGCCAAGGCAGCCTGGACTTTCTCCATCTCCGCCTGGGCAGCCTCCCGCAGCTGCACGGCCTCCCGCTCTTTCTTCAAAGCCGCATCGGCTTTCCTTTTGAGCTCGGCAAGATCCTTCTCCTGAGTGGCCCTTGCCCGCAACAATTTTAGCCCAGCCTACAAGGGAGAAAAATAAGGAGTCAGAAGGGGACGGATAGCGGACCAAGTGGCAAGAGGGAAATGAGAGGAATGTACCTCGAGGTTTAGGAGCAGGGCATGATCAACGGAATCGCCGGGAGAACGGTCTGACAGCTCCAGTCCGGCCTGAAGGGCCATGTCCTTCCAGAATTCAGAAATTGGGCGGACGGCGGGGGGCATCATGGTGTCAGTAGGTTTGGGTCCGGAGGACTCGACGCGCTGCCTCTTCGCCTTCTTCCCCTTATCCTTTTCCCCACCAGCAGGGACAGCAACGCCGATCAGATCCACGTTCAGAACCCAATTATCTTGGACATGCTAGGCCTCAAAATTCTGCCTCGGTCACCTCGACCATCAGAAGCCTCTCGGCATCTGCAACACGCTTATCCGCTTGAGATGCGGCGGAAAAGTTTTCTCAGAAGACTGAGTGGCCCCACGAGCTTTCACCAGCGCCACTCGTTGCGTATTGGCCTTGGCCTCACGACGAGCTTTCATGGCTTCGCGATCCATTTGGTCCTGAGTGGGAGGAAGACCTGAAATAAAGAAACAAGAATATTAGAACCGGGCGGTGCGAATCTCAAAGGCACTCACCTCAGGGAATGGACCGTCCGGGCCCACAAGATGAACACAAGAGAATGCCAATCCAGGGATCACGGGCGGTACTTATCCCTACATCGGAGAGTGCCTGAATGGTCAGGAAATCCTTCATCCCTTTAACGCCATCCAGCCTTAGCTTATCTACGACGTTTTGCAATCCCTGGGTCAGCTCTGGCGACGTAATCTTTGGGGGATACCCATTCCATCTCACAGGAAGCCGCTCGTCCGAATAACGAATGAAGAAAAAACGGTTCTTCCAGACATGGATTGAAGTGGGAGCCCCCTCGAACAATTTCCTTTTGGGACGAGCGGCCACGCTCAGAAACCCATCGGCATTTTGGGGGGTGACTTGAAATAAATAATGGAAGAGGTCCAAAGTGGGAGCGAGTCCTTATGATTTGCAACGAACAATGAATGCGGAGATCAGGCGGTAGGACTTCGGCATAAATTGAGCCGGAACAACACTGAAAAAGTCAAAAAGTCAAGATAAAACGGATGAAGTGGGAAACGCAGTCCGGCCTTTATGGAGTCCATATGCACCATCACCATTCCCGGACGTCTTTTAAAGAGGTTGTCCGCGCCCCGGAGGCTGTAGTGAAACTGTGGAGGGAGAAGTGTTTGCAGCTCCTTCAGGACCCTCCTAGAGAAGACCTGATCGAGCACGGCAACGTTGGGAATAAACACGATGTGCCGGTGTCGATCCATGGGGACGCCAAGCTTGAATACCTGGAGATCGTCCCCCTCTTCGGTCTCTTCGCCAGAGTCATAATCGCCCGAGTGCTCCACCTCCGTGTCAGATTGTGCCACCGCCGCTACGACATTCTCAGGAACGACGTCCATATCAACATACCCCCTGCATTCGAGGCCGCGCCTCATCTGCCGCCACGAGGATTGCCACTGTAGAGGCGCTGGAGCGGTCAGAAATACTTATTCCCTCCGAAGAACGGGACCTAGAGCTCGCCGCGGAAGAGGAACCGGCAGAAGAGTCGGTAGAAGAGCCAGAACCAGCATCCGAGTCGGAGGAGATTTCCATGGAACAGGCCATGGGAAGGATTGCGAGAAGAAAAGAAGAGGAGTTGGATCAGAGAATTACCTTACGGAGCTTTAAAGGAGGGACGAACGCGGAAACCGGGAACACTTGCTTGGAAACGCTGGAAAATTAGAAGGAAGCAGAGGATGGGAAACCCTAATCTTGTCTGCGATCCTAGTATTTATAAAGGGGAGGCGCCCTTTCAATGGCCAACCCACAGGTGACACGTGGCGAGGAGCGTACCCGGGGACACTTGTCATGTTGAGACGGGCAGGTATGGAATGATTACTTTTGCATCGGAAGTTGAACCGGCCAGGATAACTGCCACCTAGAGCCTCGTGAACAACGGCGGGGAAGAAACCGTCACTACGGGGGAAAGAGGACAGCGGCTCAAAGCAGTACGGCGGAAACTAATTACTTCTTTATGTCCCACGCACGCTCAGAACATAAGAAGCGGGGGACTTGTGTTGGGTTAATGGCCCAACAGGGGGCCGACCCATCAACCCTTAAGGACCACCTATGAGCATCTTGCTAAAGGACCAAGAGGAAGGTCAAGGCCCAAGGGCCAGAAGACGTATGTGGTCCATCATCAGCCAATACTAGGGCCCAAGGACCAGGCGACCTACGTGATCCAACATACCCCAGTCTCAAGGCCCAAGGTCCGGTGGACGTGCGTAGTCCAGTATGCCTCAGTCTCAAGGCCCAAGGGCCAGGGGACGTACATAGTCCATCGCCAGCCAACACTAGGGCCCAAGGACCTGGGGACGAACGTCCTATGGCCCTTACCACAGGGATCAGGCTGCCACCAGAAGATTGGGTCCAGCCCTAAGGGACGAACGTCCCCACCCCATGACGGAAAATCGAGATCCTGACGGGAGATTTGGTGATTGGGATCATGTCGCCCACAGCCAACCACGTCAGCACTCCCACCCACCCTTGAGTAGTATAAATAGTCGCATTTATTTCATTGTAAAGAGTTCGCAATTTGACTCTCTAGATTATAGCAGTAATAACTGCCCAAGCATAGCATAGTACGTTCAGCCCTTTGGCTTGTAATCGTTTGAGTGATTAAATACAGTTGTTGGCCCATTCCCTGTTGCCTTTTCATATTATTTATCCTTCACCCATTCGAAACCCCCAGATTACGTGTTGGGCCTGCGGGTTGTGGGAATAAACTTCAACAACGGCAATATTATTAAAAGAGATAAAATTTCCCATAATATGACTAAAAAATCGATTAATCGGAAATATGATTAAAAATCACTAATGGTGAGTAGTATAACCACAAGATAAGTAAGGGAAACTTCCCATGTAATGTATATTCAATGTAAGTTTGTGTCTCATTCTCCCATCAAATTAGGAAAAAGAATGACTATTGGAAAAAAGTTTTTGTCACTTTTGGTCCTTCGACTATTGTGTCAGTGACACTTTTGATACTCGTTTTTTAATTTTTCCATTTTTAGTCCTCGAGTATAGTGCGAGAGACACTTTTGGTATCCTTCTTTCAAAAAATTTATGTTTAGTCCTTCGACTTTTGTAAAATTGACACTTTTGGTCCTTCAACTATTGCAATAGAGACATTTTTTGTCATCCACTTATTATGTCAAAATCATAGTAGAAGGACTAAACGTGTCAATTTGATAATACTCAAAGGACTAAATGTGAAAAACCGGGGAACACGGATCTGATATTTCAATATGGTGACTTGATCAAGGACTAAAAGTACAACTTTCTAAAAAATTAATTGACAAAATTATACCTAAAATTTTATGGGGTGGATTGAAAAACAAAAATATCATAAAAATGTGACATGTAGGACATATTTTAAAGATTCATGTCTACTAAATGGTGGATCACACCGTCAGCAATTTCTCCCCGTCTTTTATCCCTCATCATATTTTTTGGCTTCCCTATTTATATTTATCTGCTCAACCAGCTTGATATACATTCCAAGAAACTAAATAAAGAGCATAAATGCCGACACTCTAGGATATCCAGCTGTGACCCTGAAAAGCATAACTGAACCCTAACTGCGGTTAAACAATTAACCATGGTTACTAGCCTCAACCACAATTAATACCACCATCTCTGCAACTCTCATCCCCATCTTCTTTGCGCCCGAGATTCGGTGAGGGATCTTGCTTCGCCATGGGTGCACTTCATATTCTCCTGTTAGTAACGGCGTCCATGATTGCCGTTTCCTCCACCGTTACCTCCGCCCACAACATCACCGCGATTCTGGAAGGCCACTCGGAGTACAGCCAGTTCAACAGCTACCTCTCTCAGACCAAGCTCGCCGACGAGATCAACTCCCGAAATACGATCACCGTTCTGGTTCTCAGTAACGTCGCTTTCTCTAACGTTACAGCCAATCACTCACTCTCCACCATTAAGAACATTCTCGAGCTCCACGTCTTGCTTGACTACTGGGATGGAAAGAAGCTCCATGAAATGACCAATGGCACAAGCAGGTCCACCACTTTGTACCAGACCACCGGGAATGCCCAGGGAGACGCCGGCGCCGTCAACATTACCGATCAGAAAGGTGGAAAGGTTGGGTTCGGATCTGCTATTGCCGGATCGCCTTTTACCTCGAAGTTCAACAAGGAGATTAAGACAATTCCGTACAATATATCGGTGATTGAGATTGACGAGCCTATCATTGTCCGGGCGGTCGTGGATGCTGCGACTCCGACGGTTTCCGATTTCAACATCACCGCCGCCCTCGAGAAGGCTGGGTGTAAGACTTTCGCAGGCTTGTTGATTTCTTCCGGTGTTATTAACAATTATGAGAAGATTGTCGATACAGGATTGACCGTCTTTGCCCCAAACGATGAGGCGTTCAAGGAGAAGAGCTTGCCAGATCTGAAGAAACTTAGCAATGCCGATCTGGTTGCGCTCTTACAGTATCACGCCGTCGCGGGGTACACTCCAATGGGGACGTTGAAGACCTCCACGAAGCCCCTTTCCACTCTCGCTGCTAGCGGCGCCGGAAAGTATGTGCTCGGGACGAAGAAGGATGGAGACTCTGTTAGTCTGTCCACCGGTGTGGATTTGTCGAAGGTTGCTTCAACGGTGATAGATTCGACGCCGCTCTGCATCTTCACCGTCGACAGTGTGCTTCTCCCTACTGAGCTCTTCGGGAAGGCGCCTTCTCCGGCTCCGGCGCTGGCTCCGGAGGTCTCTCCTGCACCAGCGCCTGAAGTTTCCGACGCACCAAGTCCGTCTGTGGCAGATGCTCCGGCTCCCTCTCCCCCTGCTCCTCCGACCTCATCTCCCGACGGCGCCCCGGCGGAGAGCCCAGCCGATGATTCCGAGAACAGCACCGGCAACCAGAATGACGCCGGCAGCTTTGTTCCGTCACTTGTCACCGTGCTTTCAGTGTCAGTCCCGTTGTTTGCATTCATTTACATGTCCTAATCTGTCATTTTGTATGATACAGTAATTATTCGCTTAAATTATTTCACCCTTTTTGTTGTTCTGCTTTTACCTTGTGTGTGGATTTGAATCTGGAGAGAGAGGGGTTTTCACTTTTCATACTTACATTCATTTATTTACGTGGAAATTTATTGTATGTTTGGTTGAGATTAATTAGAATCAAGATAAGATTGTTTTAGGACTTCTGTTTTGTGCTAAATTTCGGTGATCAGCCACCTTTGAAATGATCAAAGTATTTGAAACTAAAATAAAAATTATGAATCAGAATGTGACTCTTAAAAATGTTTGATGTACACCTTTTACGGACAATTTGGTTGTGCGTAAACATACAATTTGTGTTAAAAGTGTACATAATAAGGTGACACCAAGCATTTCTGCTATTTTTAGGTTCAACTTTTAAGCATTTGAGGACGCTATACTCATTAGTTTTAGCACTCTTCTTAATTTGTAACATGCACTTTCTTTTTTTGGATTATTAATTTCAAAATTATAATTATTTTTCTTAATTTAACGTGATTAATTAATTTTTTGGAGTATTTCATTTTATCTCACTTTTTACCTTTTTGTGGATTCATATTGCTTTTCCTTGATTTTTGAAGCTTTAAAATTGTGAAATCAACTAATCCTTTATTTTCTTAAACTTATACTCCCTCTAGTCCCTATTAAAGTTCCCAATTTGACTTCACACAGATTAAGAAAATAAATTTGACTTTCCTGTGGAGTGCACTGTTTGGCACTGTTTGGACATTGTTTGCCACTGTTTTGCACTGTTTTGTTTCCTACAATGGAAGTGTGAACTTAAATAAGGGACATTCTAAAAAGGAAAATGAGAACTTTAATAGGGACCGGAGGAAGTATGTATCTTATATTATTGGATGGGGAGGGTAATGTTTGTGGACATGTAAACTTACCTGGCCAATTTAAATTCTATTGGACTGCTCGTGATGGTTGTTAGGCCTTATAAAATATTAATAGCACCCATTCAGATCAAATTTAATAATTGAATTTATTTGGGTCATAAAAAAATACCCAATTGATTCAATTATAAATTAAATCTTGTAAAGAATGGACCGACCCCTATTAATTTTGAGCCCATTATCAAATATTTGCTCAATATATAAGAGTCATGATCCAATTAATAAAGAGAGCAATGAATGTGGTTAAGAAATCCATCTGTATGCATGAAAAATGGCTACGAACCTTGTCAAAAAGGTTGTCCAGATACATCGGACAAGTGCTGATTTTTCTAGCTATTAAAATGCAAGAAATAGAGCCCAAAGCCCATTTTTCATTAAGACCCATGAGATATGGACGAATTTGACAACCCGAAAAGCATATTTTTCACCTCCTCCACACCAATAAATAGGGGTCTCAGTTGAGAGGAAAAGGAAGAGAATTTTCAGACGAAGAAGCGTTGCAGAAAAGCTCTTAAGAACTCACGAAAGGCTATGAATGATTCCGAAGAAGAGGAATAGATTAAGCCACACATTTTATTAAGAATATACGAATAATCCTTCGTGATTTCGTCGATTCTTAAAAAAAAGAATCCAAAAGTTGAAGAACGTTCGAAGATCTGAAGAACGAAACTTGAAGATTCGAAGATCTGAAGAACAAGACTTTGAAGATTCGAAGATATGAAGAACGAATCTTTGAAGATTTGAAGATACTCATATGAAGATTGAATTGAAATTCAATTGAAGATCAAGCCATATATCCCGGGAGGCCCTTAAACAAAAGATCAAGCCATAAAACGGCCCTTTTGTTGAAGATCGAGCCACTTGAAAACCGGAGGCCCTTCAAGTTGAATTCTTAATTCAAGAAGATTTGAAGATCGGACAAACGAAGATTCGAAGATTCGGAGATCTCAAGAATGAAGATTTGAAGATCTGAAGAACGTTCGAACGTTTGAAGGATTAAAGATTTAATTTTGAATTAATTTCTTTAATTATATTTATTTCAAATTGGAAGTGAAGAATCAGAGAATTCATATTTAGAGATTGTACCCAATATTCTCACATATTATTATTTGCGATCAATTTTAAGTAAATACTGCTTGGTGGGATATCTCTACCTCTCATCTCTTCACTTTCGAAAACAAACCCATGGCATCAAACAAGCCTGTGTTCACTCTGAATTCTAGAGCATCATCAAGATCAGAAGTTGAATGATCTGAATAACAAAGTGGAAAACTTGAAAGGCGAGTCAAGTCATACCCATGAGAAAGATCCTAAAGTGCACGAAGATAATGATTCTCACCAAGAGGGTTCGGGAAAGAACATCTCAACCTCTGGGGGCATGATCCCAATTGATCAACTCAAAGACTTCATCATGGGAACCATAAAGGGAAGATAGAAGGAAGTCAATCTACTTACTCCTATGTTAAACCATATACTCAAAGGATCGAGGATCTGAAAATGGCCATTGGTTATCAACCGCCAAAGTTTATCCAATTTGACGGAAAGGGAAACCCGCGACAACATGTTGCTCATTTCGTAGAGACTTGCAATAATGCAGGAACAAACGGAGATCATCTTGTCAAGTAGTTCGTGTGTTCCCTAAAAGCAAATGCCTTTGACTGGTATACTGACTTGGAGCCCGGTTCCATTGATAGTTGGCAAGATATGGAACGTGAGTTCTTAAACCGTTTCTATAGCACAAGGAGGGTGGTCAGTTTACTCCAACTAACAACTACTCGTCAGTGGAAAGATGAACCTGTGATAGCTTACATAGAGCGTTGGAGGGATCTTGCTCTAAACTGCAAGGAACGAATCTCTACCAGCTCCGCTATCGATATGTGCATTGAAGGAATGCATTGGGAATTGTGCTACATTCTCAAAGGAGTCAATCCAAACACTTTCGATGAGCTAGCAAGCAAAGCTCGTAACATGGAGTTGAGCATTGCAAGTAGTGGAAGGAAAGCCATGGGTATGTATCCCATAAACAATGTTGTTGAAAAACAAGATACCAAGAATGGGGGAAAGCCCTTTTCTAAGATTGAAAATAAAGAAGCAATGATCGTGAAGGTTGCACCTGTTAAGATCTTCTCTCAAAATTCAAAACAAGTTCCTAGGGTCGACTTGGAGGCGTCGAAACGTGTTAAACCATTTCTAGAAGAGATACTAGAAAAGAAATACCCCTTCTTAGACTCTGATGTTCCTCTCATGTTTGAGGAACTGATGAGATTGAAGCTTATTGATTTGCCCGAGTCCAAACGACCCGAGGAAGCTACAAAGATAGATGACCCCAATTACTGCAAGTACCATCGACTTTTATGTCACCCCACTGAAAAGTGTTGGGTGCTGAAAGATAAAATTATGGCCCTGGATCGTCAAGGAAAGATTGAGCTCGCCGATTCTGCTGCAAGCACAAACCAAATTGCCATCACTTTTGGTAGGTTTGCTCCACTCATGGTCAACGACGACCTAAATTCTCACAAGCATGAGCTCCCATTTACTGTCAAGGGAATGAAAGGATGTCCTCCTCTCACTAAAAGAATGACACTAGAGGATGTTGATGACAAAGGAAGACCATGGATCTTGGCATAAATTTACTCATATTCAAGGAATAAAAAACATGATACTCCTATTTTGGAATTTCAAATTTTTTTTATTCCTATTTAGGGAATTCTCTCTTTAATGTTTTACCCTTTTATCTATTACGGACTGTTGAGTTTATTTGAATGTTCGAAAAGGTTAATTGAAGGCAGAAAGACAAAAAATGACACCAAAGTTTTTAATGAAACTCGAATTAGACACTAAAGTTTTAAGTAGACCAAATAAACACAAAATTATAGTTTTTGGTTCCATTTGACCACCCTTTAACGCCTCTGTTAAACGACCCTTCCCCGTCATTAACTCCCCAGCGTTCCAAAAGCCCCTGTCCCACCCCTGTCAAACACCCTACCCCTCCCCAGCCCCAGCTCCAGTCCTTTTCCCGCCTTTGCCACCTCCCTAGCCTGAGCTCCGACCAGCCATCCAGAGCCTCCCAAACTAGCCCCTACCCAAGCCCCAGCCACAGCCCCTTCGCAACCCCCCTCTCAACCTCGTAGCCCTCGTCATCAACCCAACGTCGTCCCTCACCTATTGTTGCTACCTACAACCGCACTGTCGCCCACCCCTAGGTGCCAACGAGATGCTCCAGATTGAATGGAGCATGACAAGATCTAGATCTTTGACAGCGACACAGAGATGAAATGACGGGGGTAGCTATAGTTCTGGTGATGTCGCGATTCTGCGATGGTGAAGCCTGCGATGGGTAATGGGTAGACTTTGCCACAACGGCGGCTTCGATGGCAAGGCGGAGTGACGGTGAGGCGTTGACGGGGAGTTAATTGGATGCCATTGTTGTCTACTCTCCTGGATCCAAGACAACTTTATTTGGATGGGGAGTTAACGAGGAAGGGTTGTTTGACGGGGAAGGCGTTAAAGGGTGGTCAAAATGGAACCAAAAACTATAATTTTGTGTTTATTTGATCTACTTAAAACTTTAGTGTCTAATTCGAGCCTTGTGTAAAACCTTGATGTCATTTTTGGTCTTTCTCCCTTAATTGAATCCCAATCTCAAGGACCTCCACGTTCTGACTCGACAATGTATCTGGAAGATTGTAAGTCATAGTGATTCGGTCAGTCTAATGATTATAGATCGAGCTTGTACACATGCGTATCAAAGGTCCAGCCCAACAAAAATGAGTTATGACCCCCTCATACGACCGCTGCGAGTTTGAATCTTTGGTTAATGTTCCAATTTTCCTACGACTGAACCAAGTGAGCTATTTGTGCGGGTACTGTGAGTTTATTTCAAAGTACTACTAAATTCGAATTTTTACAAAAATATGAGTAATAATTATTATAGTAGTGTCTCATAGTTTTTTTAGTGTAAAGATTAAACATAAGTAACTTATTATGACTAGCTAAGGGGTGTTTGGAACTCATTATGCTTCTGTTTTTTTAAAGCAGAAGCAAAATCTGTTTTGCAAAAGTTGATCTCCCCCGACTTCTAAAAAGTGCTTCTAGGAGTAATTTGGAGCACCCAGAAGTATTTCTGCATTTTAATCCAAAAATTTTAAGAGTAGAAACATCTGCTTCTGTTGCCTGAAAGAGTAGAAACAATTTTAAGAAACAGATCCAAACAGCATCTAAATTGGTTTTATAGTCATGCTTAGTAGTTAAGACGATGTCAAATGTAGTACTTTCGCAATATTTTAAAAGATTGTTTAGACATTCAGCAATTTCACCATCTAATTGGTATTATAGTCATGCTTAAGACGATGTCAAATGTATTACTTTCGCAGTGCTTTAAAAGATTGTT